CCCCCCCCCCTCCTCCCCCTCTTCTCGTCCACCCTTTTTTTCTCGTGCGTATTTCGGCGTCACCCGTTAGAGCGCTTCGAACGGAGCCAAAGTGAGTGAGAGGCTTCGATGAAATTCCAACGCGCCCCCGATGGAGTAGAAAGTAATTAAATGCGCACGGGTCGATCGGAGCTGGATGTATGTATAGTACGTCGCATTTAGTCTCAGCGACGTTACGAATGTTTATTGTATCCCGAGCATCTCTACTTCGTCGTTGCACTCGAATCTGATAGAATTACACCGGCAGCAAACCCTCTCAATGATACATAACGTCGCGCCACAATGATAACGCATTGCGTATTAAAATCTGATATAAATTTAACCGCATGTCGCGCTCGATATTCGTCACCCGCGACTAACGCTGTTGCGATGCAAGATTGATTTTGAACGCGGACGCGCAACACCACTGACAATGAGTTAACACCTTTCTCTCTATGTCAAGCAACTGCAACGTATAGTAGATTTCCGGATTAACGAATCTTTATCGAAGCGTCGCCATAAATCTTTTACCGCGCGTGATAAATCCGGACCATTTCGAGGGCATCTAACGACGTTTCACGAAAATTACGAGTGTTACTAGGGCGGCGTTAAGGGAATTGAGATTTATACTACGTTATATCTCTCGGTAAATCCTGTCTCCGATTACGACGCGTATTCCAGTAATTCCACCGCGTATGCACAAGAGTCGTCGATGCAGCTTGCGAGAACCATGTAGAATCGCGTGCAATCGCGACCACGGCGATCGACTGTAAGCTCGGACTAGATTCACAGCCCCTCACGGTATTTTCCCGACCTACATTCATTCAGCTGCAATCGTACCGTACGATCGGAATGATCGCGTTTACGGCCGTCCCCACTGCACTGGGGCGAATTACGCGTCGCGGAAAACATCCACAGTGATACGCACGCGGTACCAATTCCGTCGACGGTAATCGATACCGAGCTGCTTCCTTTCCGGCCGAGTCGTCGCCGCTCGGCAACGAGGAAACGGCGATAGGAACAGGGAAATTCCGAACATCGTCTCCATTAATTCTCTTAAAGTCATTCTCTCATATAAAACATACACAGAATGATTTTCCTTAGATATGTAAAAATTAACCAGACACAATCCTAAAAATAATTTTGTTGGGCTCAATATTATTATGTAAAACGTGCGACACTGTTAAATTCATAATGTCAAATTATATCCAATTTAAGTTACTTTTAATCATTTCTATAAGTCGCCATTACACTTCTACTTAAAATGTCGTTAATTTAATTAAAATCACGGAGTTAAACAAATATACTAAAAAATACATAGATATATTAAATTTAACACAAATTTTTAGTTTATTATTTACTAAATGCAAGTGTTAATATGAACGTTATATTTTCATATCTTGACATTATTGAGTTTTACTTTACTTATTAAGCGATTCAATTATAAAAACGAATTGATCTACTTATGTTATCTCAAATATAAAGTTAAAAATGATAAAATATTAAAAAGATGTGATCTCATTCTAGCTCGAGCGTCCTATATAATTACTTCGACGATCTGTAACAAAATTATTTCCATATCTGTATCCAGGTAAATTTTTAGATACTTTAACAATCTATTCTTTCTGTGTACAATTGGTTTCAGCGATCCGAAAGTTTCAAAGTATGTCGCTGCACTGCTGCGAAGTCGGCAATTCGTCTCTCTCAAATTACGATAATTACCAAAAAAAATATGAAGTTGATTGACGGTTTACTTATTTTCTCCCCTTCTATTGATATTCAATACGTTCACAAAGTTTTGAAAAGAAGGACGATGGTATTCGGGTATCCCTCTCCCTACGGCTTTAAGAAGCGCACCGAGAATTCCCGTTATCATCTCTCACGGATCGAGAACAAACACGGAACTTTTCGGAACGACGACCGGCACGAATCCACCCCCAGCTAATATGAGAGAATGGACGGAGAGGTCGGTCTCTCTCCTTTCATCTTTTCGCCCTTCCTTCTCGCTTCTCGTCGTCCACTTCCGTTCTATTTCCCTGCTGTAACGAGCTGAAGCCACGTATCTTCCATTCGACTGGCTATACGTATCATAGAAATTCCGCATATGAAATTCTTTTGAACATTTTGCCGGTTCCGTGAGGAGAAGCATTCAGCTGTTGATTTAATCCGCAATTATTCGCGCTCTTTTTGAAAAAAATAATCACTTTCTTGCACAGCACGATTGCGGGGAGACTTTGGCTAACTTCGTTTCCGCAATCCTATGTATTTAAAAACGCAAATGTTACGTGTTAATTTGTTATTTATTACGTGCACTCGTAGGAATATCCTAGTCGGCAACGTTCTCAACGATTGGCGAAAGCTGCCATCACCCGTTATGAGTTTTTCTACTTAACCCAGTTTGAGGACAGAACGATTACACTGATCAACATCGATCGGTGGAGAAATGGCAATCCCGATTAAGGGAGTCGAGATTGAAATACTTGACGTAAGTTGATCGGTGCGATACTTTCTAGAAAAGTAACGATGAATCACGACGTTATGGTGCGGACAACTACGGGGTTAGCTGGTCGAAAGTCATCCCTTCAAGAACCGCAGGAGACGAGCACACATTGAGATTCGCGGACGACGAGTTTAAATTGCTACGCTTGACGCTGCTCAGCGATGGAAAGAAAGAGAACAGCAGTTAGAAATCTTCATGGCGCATAAAACGTTGAAGAGCGCTCGACCAATTCTAAGGTCTGATGGCTGAACGTTTTAAGGGAATGCTGGAGTTTCTCCTGTTTTATAAAATATGATTAATTTTCAGATCCTCCAATCTTTTAATTACATTTACATTTAAAAATCTTTCTTCACAATTAAAGTATAAACAAAAATACAATGTGAGCAACAAGTTCATACAAAAAACAAAAAGAAATTAAAAAATTATCGTCAGATTCTATAATCGACTCGTGACAACGACGTGTGTGTTGCATGTAAGAGTTTTAGATTTTATACAATACATTTATAAAATAAGCTTAAATCGCACTAAAAATAACATAAAAGAACAATATTAAATGTATGTTTATATTATAGAAATGAGTTAGAGGCTTTAAATACAAGAGAGAGAATCTAAAATTTTCATATATATGCTACGAGTGAAATCAATGTGAACAGTAAAATAAAATTGTGTCTAACAGTAAGTACCACACTTTGCAAAAAATGATGTCGCAATATATTAAAAAAATAAAGATGGATGTGCGCGTTTAAGCGAAACAGAACGATAATGTAAGCAACAGAGTTTGGAGTTAAAGTCTATATTACCGACATCGATCAACCGTCGCTCCAGCATCCCCTTAAAGGTCGCGGTTCAGAAAGCGTAGAACCAACATATCTGAAGACCTCAACCATCTACGCGTGTCGCGATATATCGCCCCGTCGACTGCAATCGAGTTACAATGTCGATTGTGCAAAGAAAGTAAGTCGCGCGAATGCACTGGTATTATAAAAGAAGCTTTTAAACGAGCCGTTAATATTGACTTGGGACTTGCGAAACTTTCGCAAAGGTTTACTTCCATCCACCCGATTGACATGGTATCGAGAATATATCGCGGCGATCGCGCGGATTGTTCGGGAAGGATCGTTCTCGACTTCGAGGTACTTTATCACGTGTCGGCGAAATTTCCAGCCGTATCGGTACAGCCGCGAATGAAAATCGCATTAAGGACATCCTCGAGGAGCTTCACCGTTGGTGATAAAAAAATTTATTGCCGTCCTAGGACGAAGATAAATTTTCCGTTAATACCCGCGTTCGTGCGCGAGCGACATAATTTTTACTAGAAGAAAGAAACGACATCGAACGTACGGCTCGAGGCGTGATATATATTTAACGTAATCATCGATAATCAATCGCGATAAAGTAGATGATTGAGTGTAATAACCGATCCAAATTGTCATTAAAATATTTCTTCGACGGGATTCGCATAAACGAATAAAGCGCTCTGATCCACAGTGCGAAGTGTCGGTAATGACTTTCGACTTGACAAGTTAATTAATCACGTCAGAATACTTTCAGTGGGACAATCACTTATCGGGGTAGAATATCTAAAGAGTGAAGGTATTTTGTCGCGTTGAAAGAGTATGTCAATTTGAATTGCGCGAACAGAATAACGCTCCTGAAGACTATCCGAAATTTAGCTCTCACTTTAGTTTTTGATTCCATTTGAAATCAAAGACAATTCACGACAATTCTTGTTCAAGAGCATTATTTGAGCATTATTTTACATTCGGCATTTCAACGCGATAACAACACCTGAATCGTAAACCCTTTAACACTGAGCCGGCCTTACGGCCGCGTGCGTCACACACCACATATCAGCTTCCGTGTTAGCTACATATTACAGACACCGTTTAGAACATATCCCGACGTGTGTGTATAAACGTGTGTGGGTGTCGAGTGATCGCGCACGTCTTTTTGCGTGGCAGTTAACGCAGGAGAAAACCAACAAATAACAAATTAAACGAGAAAGGGAAGGTGTGAAAGAGAAAAAGAAGTGAGCTTAAAAGATCAGTGAAATTTTCAAAACACACTGATCGTACATTAAAATACTGCACAAATCCGTTGCACGCGCGAATGTGTACATACTCAAAAATAAAAAAAGAACTCGTGAAATATATTCTTCTACGTGTCCTCGCGTCACATATTCCTGTAACATTCGCAATGGTGAATTTAACTACGATCTATATAACGGCGAAATTGCACGTTCTTTCCGAAATAATTGTTCGTTTCTCCGTTGCGGGATTAAACAAGATCGAAGAAATCGGTCTGTAAATTGAGTTAAATCAGACCACGTGCCAACGACAGGTGCAGCACGTGCTGTGTCGGTTTGTAAGACCACCGATTTTTCACCCAAAGCCGAAGCCGCGCAAGGAGCCGCTCTTACTCCGGAAAGAACGCTTAAATCTGATAGGATATCGACCTCCTAGTGTCGATATCGCGTTCGTGAATTATAAAAAATAGAAATATTTTTACAAGAGTTAAATTTAAAAAACGATTACTGCGTTATCTGAAATGTTCCTCTGCTCTTCCAATATATTTCATGCGTTGAGACAGTCAAGAGGACACGCACAAGAGACAAAAATATTATGAAAAACGAGAAATAAAACGGCGAGAGATACGAAAGTAGACGACGGAAGTGTTGACTAAATGATCGCCGCGTTAATACATAAAATGCCGATAAAATAAAAAAGATAGTGTCACACGGAAAAACAGATCGATTAACAGAAATGAAACAGATGGACGGACAGACAGAAAGACAGATTTCTAAAGAGATAAACAGATAATTAGATAGACAGATAGATAGAAGAAGAGAAAGAGAGAAGAGTATATAGTAGAGTAGTAATAGCACGACAGATTACGAAAGGTGGAAATAGTAGTGGTGTATACAGAAAAAAGATTCGCTGCTCTCGCCGCAGGCGTCTTAATAGGTACCTCGTAATTAGAGACAAAGAAAAATAAGAACATTAAGTAGTTGGTGTTGGTCATTACCGTTCGGGTCCGGGGCAATCGGGTACAATGATTGAGGCTTTGTACTGTCGATTGGGCCGTGGTGGTTGGTGGTTGGTTCATTGGTGGTTGGTTGGTGGTTGTTGTCGATTGTTGGTAGGGTCGTGGTGGTCCATTTGCCGATCGAGTCGGGGTCCGTCGTTCCGGGCAGGGCAACGGCAGGGCAACGGCAGGGCAACGCCAGGGGGGCAACGCCGGGGTTGGGGCGGGGCCAGGGCACAAACCATCAACCAAGTTAGACATCACGTCTGACGGCTGGATTAATTCGCGGCTTAACCTCCTAACCCGATTTTTCCACCCGCGCGCTCCGCTCTCCACGTCCACAACCCATCCCCTGTTCTATGTTTCCACCTCCCTAACCCTGTCTCCCTCCCTTACCGCCATCGGATCGGCCACGAGAAGGTAAGGAAAATATTGGCATGGAAAAAATGAGGTCGAGCAACGTGAATCGCGTGAGAAAGGACACCTTATACAAGAACTCTAATGGCGCGTTTCTTTTTTACATCCTATAAGCCTACGAGTATTCGATTTAAACTTTAAGTCCGGTGAGAAAGTTCGATAATTCTTTCACGTTCGTAATACAATTGGCGAGAATTCGTAAAGTTACGGGCTAGACATTACGCGCGGCTTCTCTCTTCAAGAAAGCGCTTAAGTCAACCAGACGCGTACTTGTATCATCTCTGCTAAGACTACGCGACCAGTATCGCCGTCCCTTCGTCTCTTTTTCCCTCTCCCGAAAGTCATTAGGAATTCTGAAGACGTACTCGAATAATTTTCCTGTCCCGGCGCGGCACTTAATTGACGTCGCTCTACAGCGGTCCGGAGAATATTTCAATTGCTAACGAAGTGCGCTAAACGCCGTTAATCAAGCAAGTTTTTAATCTTTAAACGAAGAGGTCTGTTAACTATCCCGTGTAACTTGCGGGTGAGCCCGGCACGTAACTGATAACCGTATGGAAAATTTTATCGACGCGTGAGCCTGAAACATCCGTGACGAAACGTGGACGTCGCGATAGATATTGCGATAGTTTCGCGAATGGAAATAACTTTGCCGTCCAATGTGCAGACAAAAAAAAAATCATCGCGCGATCACGATAAATAACATCTTCCAATCCCGTATCATCCTACGAAAGTAATTATTTTCTCACGATACACGATATAATTCATCCGTCCAATTTGTTGCACAAGTTATTTCCATGCACGATTCTTCAATATTTTCCTGCACACGACCGAAGCAGTCAAGCCTTTAACGTCAAGTTTTCTATCGCCCATGAAAGTTTGCGTAGCGTCCGCGTTCGAACGATAGAAATTCCACAAAGCGGCGGGAAGGACCTTCGTGTAAAGAAGGTCCCGTAGAAAGTTGCCAGGAAGGCAACGCGAACTAAAAGTGAATCGCTAAGAGATCCTCCTCTCCGGTGGTTCCCTCGGATACAGCACTCGGGAATAACGACCAGAGCATTGTGCCATTTACCAGGCAAAGTGAACTTGAGACTAGAACTTCCGATATCTCTCGGCGTATTAAATGATCCTTTCAAGCTATCAGAACTAATTGAATATCCGTTATTATACCGATAATCGTGCCGCTCCATTTGCTCCATCCGGTATAACTTACATTGATTAATAACAAGACTTGACTAATAATGTGGATAATGAATCGACTTCATTATATTCAAGATCTGTAAAGTTATTTTACGCGTTCAATGACGACAGAATCTCATTGGATCGTTACGATAATAATACATTTAAGACAACTCCTTGTTTAATTGTCACTTCCCAAAGTGCTGTATCCAACTTTTCGTCCAGGAGGTACGCAGCCGCGCTGGAATCTCGCTACTCTAGCGTTACCCCGTGATTTCGTCTCCGTGCTTAGGCCAGAAGACGCATATCACGGCGAGAGAGGGACGCATTCGTGTGTCAGTGCACTCGAACGTATATGGACGTGCGTGTGCACGGAACATTCTCGACGAACCGGACGTGCTTCGCCCGCCGGCGTATCAAAATCGTAGCGGAGGTTTTCCGAGTGATTTGCCGAGGCACTACAATCGTAACGATTAAAGCGCGATATTTACGCGATACTCTATGTCCCTTCCCCAAGAGTGCACCTTAAACATCGTAGCTCGATACGATAACTGAGAAATTGCACACTCCAAAATTCTCGTTGAAACGCCCACTTGTGATTCGGAGAGATGATTAATGCAAGTAATGGAATAGTATAAACGTATCACGGAAAATTTATTAGCAATTACGAACACGATACGAAGGATACGGTTACAGTGCCCCTTCCCCCTTCAACTATTCCAGCGGAGGTGTATTTTTATTTATTTCATCACGGAATATCGATGTTACATTTATGGTGAATTGAAATAACAGTATACGGCAAAATCGGCAGACATTTTTCTCTCTCGTTTTATAAATTCAATAGTTTCGCACACATGGTCGGTATCTGCCGATTTTGCAACGATCAATGAAATTGTGATACTTTGTTGCCGCATTATTTCAGACTATAGTAAACTAATTGATTATGAATATTGATTGTGAGTCACAGAGCTGATAAGATCATTCTAATGCCCGTTTCCACCAATGTACACACAAAAAATATCAGTCTATTGCCAAGAAAAGTGATTATTTAATTTATTTTATTCCTTTTAGGAAGCTTATCTCTTTAACAAAGACTGTTTTCTTCATTATAATCTTAAAATATATTTGCTAATTTTAGAAAAACTCATTGTATTATCAAAACAAGAATTTACTTTCTTTTAAAAAATATTATAAAATTGATCGAAAACACGACTTTATATAATAAATTGAATTTGTTTTAATTTAATAATCTTGATTAAAGTATTAAGTTTACTCTCTAGGATTCAAATTATACATTTTGAATAAATTTGACGCTTGTAATAGATTTGAGTATATATGAACATTTGAACTACTTGAAACAAGTAATTATTACTCACGTACAAATATATTTTTCTGCGTAGAAATTAATTTCAATCTCGGTTCATTTTAATCTGAATCTTTCTTTAGTTCTTAGAACTAGAAAAAGATGAAGAGTAAGTTAAATCAAAATTAAAATTAATCTGCATTGGTAGAAACGAACACAACTCATGGAATACTAAGAGGTACTACATGTTCATATACTCATTTGGTTCAAGCAGGGCAACGAATTAAAATATGACCGGTCGCAGATTAAAATATGATCGAGAGACTCTCAACGCGTGGGCCGGCGTTACATTACATTACAATTAACGTGAAAAATAGCGTGACATATCGATTACCGCGCGCAAAGACGAGAGGATTCGTTCACGTCGAGATTTCCGCTGACATTTCGACGGACGAATTCTTTCGTCATCGACCATTACTGCATGCACAAATTTCGCGCGTCACTCTTAAAATATGGCGCGAGATAAAATCGAAGCTAGCGACAGCCAAGGCTTTCTTGCAGCTAGGAAGTAATAAACGTCTCATGAAACATTGATATGGGCGTACGGTGCGAGATACACGAGAGACGTGGAAAGCACCCCGCCTTTCAAGGAACCAAATGCATAATGAAGCTCGTACGGATACGGAGCGTCTTTGGAAAACGAGACGAGCGCCTAGCGAAACAAATTCTCGTGACAAAGCCTTTTGTGCACGCGGCTCTTTACACAAATTACATGAATCTTCGCGTATCAACCCTTTACCGCTGCCATAATTACATAAACCATAATTATTTTAGTTTCAAACGAAGTTAAAAGGCTCCAAGGAGCTAAAGGGTTAATTACGTTACGGGCACTCGTGTCATCGATCCATAGACAGCGCACAAGAAGAGTAAGCCGCGCGTTTTTGTATGGCAATCGACTTAGTCGCCGGATAATCGGCAGGCAAAACAAAAATGACTCTCAATCAACTGAAAATCCGACAGAATTAGAATTAAACATAGACGTATAATCAGAAGATCGTAAAAACGTATACCGCTTTGTAGTAAGTACATAAAATGAACGCTTTAGAACGCGTTTCGGAGATAATTTTTACGATCTACTGCTCGATTGTTTGCGCGATCCTTGTCTTTTCTATCTCTTTCATGCTTGCTCCTAGCAAGGAGTTTCATGAGAAGATAGATAAAGATAGGAACGAGACTACAGTGAAGTTACGAAGGAATCAAAGCGCAAAAGCTTACCTGACTTCTAAGTTTCGTGATGTTCTGACCACCCTTGCCAATTATTGAACCAGCAACCTGCAACACAAACAAGAGGAAAAAAGTTTTTAACTTAAATAAATAATGTGATTATCAGGTTAAGTAAATACCTTGAACCTGTTAAAGATAATTTCGAAGAAAAATTGCGGATCGAAAGAAGTGACGGTAAGTAGAGCTTACAAATATTTACTGTCTAAACTTCCGCCAAAGAGATTATAGGGTTAGGGTATATACCTATATATCTGGGTGGTCTTCTCAGTCTTTGTAACGTTAATTAAACGTATCTCCCATTGAGGGCGTGACCGCGGCAACGGAAAATATTTAATGAGCGAAAAATCTAAAAGTGAGATAATCCGCCTCGGAATATAAAGGGAATAAAATGAGGAAATTCCATTCTCCCGTCGCGAGCCCCGGGCTCGTGCATCAACATTTCGCTTTCTCCAGACCCGTCCGATGCTCGCGATAAAAGAGACCCTCACGTCCACTTCTAGTTAGGCTTTTAACTTTACGGCAGACTTCCGGCACACGTCCGATACCTGCACGATTGCCAGTTTCTCGCGAAACTGCAAGATAATTGGTGTATGCGATCTACCGATTTTTGCAGATTAGTCACGCCACGCACGTTTTATCACGGTCTCAGTGCGCTACTTTTAACGACAGGCCCGCCGTGTTCTGACAGTTAATTAAATAAACTCCACTGTGTCTGGCAATTAATACTTTCTCCTCCACGAGAAGGCGCGTCAAGGACGCACCTCGATGCGACGCATATTATATGACATAGAAACGCAGGAATGCAGTCATTTTCATCTGGATGAAACGGTGACGGCGCGTTCATCCTTCACTCGAGAAAGCACAAATTCGCGAACGGAAGGAACGATCTCCGTGCTGAAACTCCCGAGACATTTTGCACACGTTCATACGAATTCCCGGCAAGTTTCTCCAAGAGCGTGACTAATCTCGAGACTTCTTGCGAAGGTCGCGGTACCTATCAGTAATGTTGTACACAATGCGGTCGTCCCTGACACAACGCCGTGTGCCAATAACAGCGCGCGATGATATCGTCGATTACATAGCCAAGATTCGACCGCGATCAAGCGCAACGAACGAACCGCTCGTTCGTGCTCGGCCGGCTATATGGATGACAATAAGGCGCCCTCGCGACGCCGATTAAATCGCACGCATCGGAGCACACCATCTCGATATAACACATACATCGCTCTGGTCGTCCATTACGAAATTAAAGGCGCGATCGCCGCACCAGGGCCGTCCACGATGATGTCACGTGCCGCGGAAGGTCGAGTCTCGGGCTTGAAAGTCGAGCAACACCCTGACGAGAGAGAGAGAAGAGAGAGTCAAATTCGCAAATTTTTCCCGCTGTCTCATTCATCAGAGGTGATCTGCGATAATTAAAGGAAACGCAGGCGAGCTGTAACTTCCTCGTGCACGCGCGCCGGATATCATTTCACGCGACGTTAAGTTTTTTTGGGACGTTCGCGTGCCGTTGGACGATGATGACGGCGCGCTTATCTGCGATCCCTCGTGATGATCGGTCATTCCATTCAATTAAGCTTATTAGCGTGCATGAAGCGCGAACGGTTTACGGGATTATGCTAAAGACAACAAGCCGGTATTATTTCGATAATTGGATGAGAGACCGATCGTGTCGCAAAGTGCGCGCGGAACTCGCGAAAATAATTTTCTCTGACGTGAAAGCTTAATTTCCCTATAAAATCACTTCTTCTCTACAAACGTTTTCCCCGTAAAAACTACGGCTTTTTATTTTACCGAGTTGCCGCGAATTAGATAAAAAGTACATTTTGACTTTGATCACTTGTAACAAAATTGTGGATCACTGCTGCGAGCGATACATATCGATGCTGGGTTGGGACAAAAGTTTTGTAGCGCTACGAACTTTAAAATGACCAAAATTTAAATTTCGATAAAAGGATTTTAAAGTTTAAATCACTACTTTTGAAAGGTCACTATTTCTTTTGAGTTTCTGAGTTTGGTAATTTTTACACACAGAAAACTACGAGCTGGACAAAATGGGAAATATTTTTTTTTTATTTTGGGAACCTACTGTCACATGTCCCAAAAAGCAAATGAAAATTTTCGACTTTCTAACGTAAAAGTTAAAATTTTTCTACAAAATCGTTTTCTAAAAATTCATGCTTCAAAAATTTATTGTTATTAAATTATCGTGAATTAAGGAGGTCCTTGTACTTGAAATGTAAGACAAGTCTAAAATATAGATGTAATACAAGAGTTAATCATATCAACAATATCTAGAAAAAATTTCATTGACTTTTACCATAGCACTTTAAAAAGATACTTTATTCTATATAAATTTCTAGAATTTTACATTACAAATCTGAAATGGAGACTTTTTCATATAAAACAGAAATTAAAAAATCGTTACAAATTAAATACTCCTCACGTTCGTTCTGATAGTTTCATCTAAATTAACCGTATCGCGCGCGTTTCAGAAAAATTCATATTTTTCAATGAAGAAAATCAAGAACATTTGTCAAATACGTCTGTAGTTATGTGATTTATTTTAATTATGTACAATAAGTAAAAATATGAAACATTTATAATACAAATTATTAATTTATACATTTTTAATTCAGATTATACTTGATTTGTTGTATTTAAGGTGTAATAATAAATAAATATCATGTTCATATTACGTTTCTTGTTATTATATCAAATGAGTTAGGCAAGTTAGATATTATTGATAACGTTTTTAAATTTTTATTTCAATCGTTTTACATAATTTTACGAATAAATTGTCTTTCGATTAAGAAGTAGCACGGAAACCTCCTTAAACAAAAGAAGTATTGTGACTTTAATTGTTCAGAATGTTCTGTTAAAAATCGTATTGCATTTCTTTTAAGCGGATTCTTAAAACTAAAACTTTGCGATATTGAATGGTATATCAATTAAAAAAAAATATATACATACATACTAGATACAAATAAAGTAGCGCTAAGAACTTTTGTTCCAATCCAATATGTTATATCGAAGGAAACCACTGAGAAAGAAACAAGATAGAAAATGTAAGAGATAGAAAAAAATATCATTCCCTATTGGTCGGCTTGTACATTGTTACGCGATAGAATCTTCGGTATTCTCCTCCGAAAATACGTCGAACAAAGGAAGCGTAAGAAAACGAGTGCTTTACTGCTCCCTTCGATATTCTCAATGCTACAATCAATCACTACCGAGCGAAAGGAGGTACAGATAGACCTCGATTCACGATATTACTTCTCTCCCGATGCCCTCGAAAGCGGGCGGCGGCTGCAATCGCGATATTCGCCTGCTGCGTCTTATTGTATCGCGGAGGAAATGGTGGCGCAAGAAAATATCCGCCCAGTCGAGAAACATCCGGTCTGACGATACATCGGCAATAAAGATGGAGAACTTACGGCACTAAAGGCAACCTTAAGAAAGGCACGATCTGCCTCGGGCTGCATAGAAGATGGACATTTTCGTCGGTCCACCGAAATTCCCGAGTTCTCGACGTTCACAGATTCACGAAGATTTCCCGCGGGGGAAGAAAGTAGCCGGGAGAAACCGATAACGGTTCGCCGAGCGTGGCGACAATGACCGGAAGAGCCTCGGCTGTCCCGTGATGAAAACGGACGTGTCGGAGGTGGCACCGTCGTGTTGCTCGTATGAGAACCGTTTTACCGCACTCCCATTCGCGTATATGGATACAACGGCGAAAAGAGCCAGACCGGGTAAGCGTGACTGGAAAATACAGTGACCCAGTGGTGAAACACGTCCGACCTGCTCGCTCGCATTGTGCGTTGGAACGCGCACGCTATGCGCCCGTCGAAAAGACGAACAAGGCGTTGCCAGCAACCATCAACATTTCCGATCGTCGACGATTACGACCCGGGGAACGGTAACAACGCTTCCGTATCATACGTCGTAAATGTTAGGCCGGCCGCATACGTTCGAGTAAACTTGTCGAGTTGGAATGCCTTGAGCGAGCCACTTGTGCGAGTTTACTCGAACGTGTGTGGCCGCGGCTTTAGAAGCCAGGGCGAAACAGTCATCCGCAAAAAACAGACGAAAGAACGCGACTTTAACTTCAGTCGCGCGGCTTTAGTAGTTCGAAGCCTACTTGAGGCGATCTACAATTCGTGTCAGAGTTTCATGTAGGATGAAAACCTGTTGATAATTTTTATACACCGTATGTAATACGAAAAATATCTGCAGAATATCAAAATATAAAATACATGCACAGAAAGACCAGTTTTGTGAAAAAAATTTTAAAATAATTTCATTAATTTAATTAGCTATCTAAAAAAATTTTTTTTAATTAGATACGGATCTGAAAATAATTTTAAACGAAAAAATAATTTGTTAGATGAAAAATATGGATGCGCTTAAATTCTGCTTTCTAAAATGTCACAACTTTTTTGCTGCATTACTCATCGTACTTCCCTACATATTTAATTATCTTGATGGCCCAATAAAATTATTTTCAGATCTGCACGTACCTAAATTTTTGGACTTTATTTAAACAAAATTGTTCTTTCCGCGTAATAAGCGAGTAAAATAAGCTTATAATATAAATAAAATTATAACATCAAATAACATACAATTAAAAATAAAATTTCATCCTAAAATGTGATGCCAATTATAGAGGATGATAGTTTCGCGATACCGCGACGTATCGATCGATGACACTCACCTTACTCGGGATGAGAAGACGGAGCTCATCGTCACCCTGTCGATAGCGCTTATGAGGACTTGTTGGACCCCCGGAACCTGTCATGGCGCCAGCCTCGGCTTCTCTCTTCATTATTTCTGAAACACAGATCAAGAAGCCTTTAGAAAAGATTTATTTTCTCCGTTGCATCGCGAACCTCATCTGACAAATATTAACATAAAAAATAGAATAGTTTACGCGGTCGCGGATTCGATTTTTTTATTACAATTTCACACGCCATCTCCGGCATGAGCGCAAAGCATAGCACACGCGTCGTTTGCCGAAATTATGATGTATAAATTTGCGCGTTGATGTATAGATTACCACCGATACAGTACCGATCTAACTGACGGTCGCGTGGCCAATGCGATTTCCTTGACCGGATAAGTGCAATAAAAGACGGCGCGTGAACGCACGTCACCTCGTAAAATGGCTTTCCCACGCTAGTGGCATCATTAAGGCGAACGAAGCGATTTAACGGACGATGAATTACAATGCCACGCGCATACAGTCCATGATACGTGCTAACGTACACAGATTTATGTATTCATAATATATATATATATTCCGTAAAAAAAGGTCAATGCCTCGAAAGGTTTTTTCATTAGCATAGCCAGACGTGTGATACACAATAGTATTGATATTCTTAAGTTTACGAATATTACATTACGACACGTCTCAGCGAAAGAAAAATACACAGCTGTTTTAAAGTTTCAAGCTAATGGCTGGTGTGTTACGGTTAATTGCCGATAAACGACGACGGAAATATCTCTGGAATGATAAACTTGGCGAGATTAGAATTTAATTATTTCTACTTTCCATTGCCGACGGCTCTTTCCACTGAGACTGCAGCTCTACAGCAGAAGGGCGAATTAATTCTCAGTCAGTCGCGATAACTCTTTCCTACGTGCGTCGTCGGTACTCGCGTAGGATGCGCACCACCGAAGATTCATTGCACAATTAGAGATTTAGTTCTTCCGAATGACCGGCCGTTCGTTCTTTCCTCGAAATACGATAAAATCGCTAATACGTCGATTTTCGTTCGTTAACACGATTATAAACACTTTCCCAACATCTGATATCTAGCGAACGAATGCATCAAAAATCAATTAAGAGGATACGGAATTTCTTGAAAGAGCCGCTTTTAATGCTTTTAATCTGCTTCTATGCCATATACAACAGTAATGCGCAACCTTCTTTCGAGGTCATTTTCAAAGACATTTTCAGAAAGAGATAAAATTCTGCCGGCATGTTTATCTATAATTATCTCGTAAAATAAGAAATATGTTTCTACATTTTCCGCTATGAATCAGAGATTGCACATCACTGCTTTAAAATATATATATCCAACGCAAAATTTAATAAACATTTGTTTGAACGGTACTATTAAATATTTACTAAATGTAAACATATTTATTTGGTATACGAACAATTAATTTAAATAATTTATTGAGTAAATGTTGTTTATTGCAAATACATGTTTCATTCATACTATTTAAACAAATATTTATGGAAATTTCGTAAATTTTTTCATCGAATGATTGCTTCTATCTAGTTGAAATATACACGATCACGCGCGCGTGCGCGTGGAAATGTACAATAGTATCGGTTCTCTGAATATCGCAATTATGTATTATTTGCATACGTATAGCAAAAGAGAATCAAATTTTGCCAAAATCAATAGAGATTATGTATTTAAATTGACACGATAATCGCTGTTTATCTGCTCACCAGTCCAGAATGTTTAATGTAACACGATTGAACTGCGAATAATTAATTACATAATCAGTCTGTTTGATCGAAGAACAGTGAGGCTAACCACACAATGGCGTTCACTGTTCTCCGGTAATAATACACGCGACATATCCTCGTGATATCGCGATCACATAAAGCTTTGTTAACTAAACTCACATGCGGTCCGTGTCTCCGATATATCCAATAGACGAGTCATTCGCTCGGAAATTCCGTCGTGCGGGATCGCGAGGTTATCGTTGTTCCTCGAAGAGAGAAAACGAAACGGAACGAAACGAAAACGTAATGCGCCTGAGTTGCCGACTACCATTTGTCGGCTTGCGCCGCGCGTTTAGCATAGAAATCGCGGCTACACGCGCAGCATACGGAAACATACCTGGCAATGGGAATGGTCGTAATGTAAGATTATAAGCAGTTACAGGGGGGAACGTAGAAACTTGCGCGCGACATATTTCTAACGATGCGACGCGCTATGTGCGAGTGCGTGTCCCGATATCATTACATCGCATCGCGTTGTAATTCGAGATGCGTGATCTTTTCCAACAAACGTATCTTCGACGCAAATAGAACTAATGATCGTACCTTTCGTTTGACTTCTTTAATATTGAACGTTCACGAAACGTTTACAATGCTAATTTTACATCACGTCCCGTAAATGTAAAAATCATTAATTTCGCCTGCTTTCGATCCGAAAGTTCAGATACGCTCCGAGTACGTAGTCCAACTATTTAACAGTTTCCTCTGAGCAATTTCCGAATTAACTTTTTCCTTTCGATTCTACACGCTTCCGTGGAGCGTGGCGTAATGTTAACCGCAGTTTTAAACCCGTGACGTGGCAGTAAAGAACACTCTTTGTACCCGGTATGCAAACCAAATATGCAAACGAAACGCGCGGACTGAACTGGGTCGTACCCGTCGTACTCGAGACGGAGGTTGATTATAAACGCACGCGACTACAATGACGAAACAGCTAGGCTGACTTGGCTTTAATCATCAAGTTGGACAATCGTGATAACGATAAAATGCGCACCAGTCAAATGTTTTAACGGATAAGAGAAAGAGCACACGATAAGACAAAATGGTCGACCAAATTGATGTTGTTTATAAAAAAAACAATAAAAATTATGTGCACACAGAAAAAGAACAATTTGATAGTATTTTAAAATAGATACAGATGTGAGTTTGGTAATTTTTACATATAAACAATTACGAGCTGAAAAAGATGAAAAATTTTCTTTTCATTTCATGAATTTTTCACGTGGCCTAAAAAAATTTGCGACAATTTTCGACTACATATCGTGAAAGCTTGAAGCTTTTCTTACAAAATTGTTTTTTTTTTTAAATGTTCCTACGATTTTTCGTTCCTGACTTACTCGCGAGTTAAGTAAAGGAAAACATTTTGATTTTAATTGCTTATAACTCCATTAAAAATCATCTTACCGCAATATAGTATTCATACAATATATTATTTTTTGAAATAGAAAATTTGAAACGAACTTTCCGAACAATCTAATAATTCTTACCGTATTGATGTTAATGTAAACACCAAGATGTGATTTTAAAATGATGTAATGTCAACACTATTATAATGAATTTAAAACTCATGTTAAACACACACTATGTTGGTGTTTGTTAATATTTAAGAGAATTTAGACCGTATAGATCAATCTATATCCATTTTTTAGAGTGCAAGAAACTCGAATATAGTAAGTAATGCTATAAAAAATTTGAACATTCTAGCAATCAGTTTGAGTGTCATTGACATACTTATTTTTATAGTCTAGCAATATTTATTTTTCGATCCATATCTAGTCAAGATCTGTAATCCAGTTAAAGTTTTAGACACTTCTAAGCCATTTTTTCTGCACGGTTACATACACACAGAATAGATTCTTTAAGTTAAACAAATTTATGAATTGGAATAGTCCAACCAAATGAATGTTCAAATTAAGGATATGATTATTTACATTAGAACACAATTTTTTTTTTATTAAACGAGATGCTTTATTTAAAATCAAATTTGTTTCTTATTGAAAGAAACATAAATAGAATTCTCAAATCCAAATGTTCTTCATAGTTGTCGTGAACTTTCCATAAGCGATATAAATACAACAATCAACCGATATTTTGTCTATCGTGTATTCTCGGCCTAAAAATAACAACGTGGGATAACTGAGCTGTACGCAATATAATTCCGTTTTACTTAATAATTGCAAAACGAATCGCCGGATATATATCCAGATATAAGATAACGTGGAAACTTTCTCCCCGAGCGGCGCAATTTCCGTGCTTATTTACAAGAGCAACAAATGGAATTATTCTTGTAGTCGCGTCAAAGCGAACATCGCGCTTCGGACAATTCGATCGGACAATTTGCAAGACTACGAGAAATGCTACGAGGGATTCAACGGCAATTACTTTCTTGTCGCGAGAGGGTTGCACGTGCGACGACTCTGCGAGGGAAGATCGAGGATACGACCCGGGGTTAATAACAATGTTGGCGGGACGCAAATGGAAATTAAAGCGACGCGGCGGCATCTAGATGCCCCGCGTGTTGCATACGCACGCGATGAAAAAAGCGGGACGGCGGAATCGATACACCTAGTAGATACCGACACGCGACGTTAATAATTTGCAATAATTCCGCGGTAAAAGGGCACTTTTCCAATTCGCGACCGACTTATTTCTTATTCTTTCCCGGCGGCGTACAACGAGAATAACCGTCAACGGAACGTACAAAAATATCTCCGACGAGCGATGCGAGTTAAAAGTCCATCGTGAAACTGTCGTCAGGTCATCGTTCACTGAGATCGACTGTGTTCAGTAAAAGAAGCAGCTTTGTAACTGCTGTAAAATTGTTCGATACGATCGGTCTTGCCCTTAATTCCTCTCATTGGATCTAAATGCATAAACCAATCATATTAAGTTTATTCTGTAATTGTATAAGCATATAGTTGTAAGTGGTTATAAAAATTGACCAATTACAGTCGAATATGAGAAGGATATTCGACTGTAATCTTAGGCCGTTATTTCATTTGTATTTGTTTTTGTCGCACGACAGATTTTTCATCCTGTAGCCTATTGATTGGCTATACAGGATAGAGAGATCCAAGGACCTCCGTCCTGCACACATTTGTCGAATGACAAAAATGCACAAATGAAATAGCACCCTTACACATACAGCTACATTCACGCAATTGTAAAATAGGTTTTAAAGATTTTACAACAGTTGCTTTTTCTACTGAACGCAACCATTGTTTTTCAAGGTGTGAAATATCACGTGTCCCCGAGATCACGCAGCAGCGCATGCAAATTTTCAAGTATTTTTAAAAACACAATATTAGTA